CCGCCGGCGGCTCCTACCACCGGGACGCCTCCCCCCGTTCCCCACAGGACCCTTCCCGGTCGGGACTCCCTTTCCTATTACCATTGCGGCTGGTAAAGCGCGACGGCGACCCCCCGGGCGAACATGGCGGCGCCTCCACCACAGCCCCGCTGAAGGTCAGCGCGCCCGCACCGCGCACGCGCGCAGCCGGGCCCGGCGCTGGCGGGAGGGGGCGGGAAGTGGTTCCGGGGCGGCGGCGGCCGCTTCCGGTAGAGGGGGGGGTGTCGGGTCAGAGAGCCGGTACCGGGGTGTTTGTGTGGGGAAGGGGGGGGTGAGGGTCAGCGCAGCACTTCGCCTCCGCCATGGGGAAGTCGGATTTCCTCAGCCCCAAGGCTATCGCCAACCGCATCAAGTCCAAGGGGCTGCAGAAGCTGCGCTGGTACTGCCAGATGTGCCAGAAGCAGTGCCGCGATGAGGTAAGGCCTCCCCGGGCCTGTGGCGGGCGCGGCGGGCCTCGATGCCTCAGGGAGGGAGGGTGATTCGTCCGTGAGGGGCCATGAGAGGTTCCGACCCTACTGGAGGGAAGCCCAGTCCCCTTGAGGACGGCGGTTCTTCTGGGGTACACAGGGGAGCTGTATCCCCGCTGTTGGGGCCCTCAGTCCTCTTGTGGGGGCTCTTACCCCCCTTTGTAAGCGTCTTTATTGCCACTGAGGAGGCTCCGGTCGCCCTTGTTGAGTTTCCCAATCCTCTTGGCGGGGCTGCGATTGCCGTAGGGGGTATGTGGCCTCATAAGCTTGTAGATTTCTCTAGGTTTCTTCTGCGGGGTACAAGGCTGGTCCAGATTCGCCTTGTAAGTGTCCACTGTCTCTTTGTGGGGCCTCTGATCTCATCTACGGGGTAGAATCCTTTTCTAGGGAGCACTGGCCTCACATGCTGGGAGCACAGGGAGCCCCAACTCTCTTTAGGAGAGCATTGGAGAGGACCCTTATTCTCCTTTCTGGCTCCCCAGTCTCTCTTGGATGGACCACGGTCCCCTTGGGGGCAGATTGGTGGGACTTGGAGGGTTCCCAGTTGCCAGGGGTGGGGTGATCCCTTTGGGATGCCTCATGGAAGAAGTCCTCATCCACTTTGGAGGAAGTGTGTTAGACCTGATCCATCTTTGGGGACGTTCAATCCCCAGCACCGTGACTGATCAACCCAGGGTGAGAGGGAGTACAGGGTGGGTCCAAACCCCCTGGAAGGGTGATTCCCTCACACATACCTTGAAAGGTCAACGGGGTTAAGAATTATGTGGCTCCCTTCTGGCTCAGAGGGAAATTGAGGGCAGCGATGATTTCCCCTGGGGACAGGCTGAGTCAGTGACGTGCCCAAGGAGATGCTCATCTGGAGCACTGTGATGTCTGTTTTTATAGACTCACAGAATCTTAGAATGGTTGGGATTGGAAAGGACCTTAAAGATCATCTAGTCCACCCCCCCTGCCCTGAGGAGGGACATTTCCGACAAGATCAGGTTGCTCAGAGCCCTGTCCAACCTGACCTGAAATGTTTCCAGGGATGGGATATCTACCACCCTCTGTGGGCAACCTGGGCCAGTGTTCCACCACCCTCAGCGTAAAAAAAAATCTTTCTTATATCTAGTCTAAATCTTCCCTCCTACCACCCTCAGCGTAAAATAAAAATCTATCTTATACGTAGTCTAAATATCCCCTCTTTTTAGTTTAAAGCTATTAACCCTTGTCCTATTGCAACAGGCCCTTGTTGCAACCGGCCCTTCTAAAAAGTTTATCCCTGTCCTTCCTGCAGGCCCTTTTTAGGTATTGGAAGGCCACTTTAAGGTCTCCCTGGAGCCTTCTTTTCTCCAGGCTGAACAACCCCAACTCTCTCAGCCTGTTCTCACAGCAGAGGGGCTCCAGCCCTCTGGTCATTTTTGTGTCCCTCATCTGGGCCCGCTCCAACACGTCCGTGTCTTTCCTGTGCTGAGGGCTCCTTCCTTCTGATTCTGGCTCAGTTTCTTCCCTTCTTTTCCTGTTAGGAAGAAATGCTTTTTCTCTGAAGCTTTCCCCTCTTCTTTTCAGTTGTCTATTTACTTGGATCTGGATGCCTCTTGGATGCGAGTGTCCTCTTCTTCCTGATATCCACTAGAGCTGTGCTCCAAAAGTACCTCCACTTGGGCTTACCGTGCTTTTAGTTTTCCATTCTCCATGGATAGCCTCTTTAATGTGTCTTAGAGAAGTAAAGCATCTCGTGGATGTTTAATCATCTTGTTCTTCAGGTGTTTCTGTCCCCCTCTCCCTTTCATCCTAGAAGCTCAAATCTTATCCACTTCCCAGTGACTAGAAGCAAAAAAGCTTCACTGTGATACAAACAGATCTATTTGTGGGGGGGCACGGGGCTCCCATGGAATTAAATTTACTGTAGTTGTAGTCATATTGTGAGGAAAGTGCATTATATTAGACAAAAAAAGATGTGGTCAAACGTCCTATGTCTGGGTGCTTTTTGGGCAGCTCTGATGACTTCAGCCCTTTGCCAGAGGTGGCCAAACTATCACAGCCCACGTCACCGTCCCCTCCTTACTCACATTTGGCGTCAGTGTCGGGTCAGGTAGGAGCCAGCAAACATTTTCAGTGCTCTCACACCAGCACCTGGATGGTGGTACCACGACTGTCCCATTCCACAAGGAACAAAGAGGACTGCTGGAATGTCCTCTCTCATAACCCCTTTCAGTTTGTCTTAAGGCTCTTGGCCTCAGGAAGAGTTTTGCTCCTGGGTTGCCTGGTCGGGAGGAACAAGCACCTTGTGTAGGCTATGGCTGAGCTAAGATGTTTTCTGTGGAGCCTTCAAGAAATTTCACATATAAAACATTCTTTTTCATACTCTTCTGCTGTGTGAGTGTTGCAAATTGAGACAAAGTATTTGTTTTTATTTGATAGAATGGCTTCAAATGTCATTGCATGTCCGAGTCCCACCAGAGGCAATTGCTGCTGGCTTCTGAAAACCCTCAGCAATTCATGGATTACTTTTCTGAGTAAGTTTGCTCTATTTTATGTTTGCTGTGTTGAAGAGCCAGGTCTTCATTCCTGCATCACACCTGTGCAGCCGTGCCTCTGAGGGCCAGTCATGTCCTGTTGATAAATGTCATGTCCTATTCTGATAAATTTTAGTTTTAGCTCTTTTTTTAACGGCAATTTGAAAATGTAGGCGATGTCACATTTGAACACGTGTAAGAAGTTTGAAGGAGTCATGATGTTTAATCAAATTTGACAGTTTTGTCCCGTGTCTGAGTCCCATTTTAAGTTGCTCTGTGTTAGAAAGTACGTCACGGATCTGCCCCAGCGAAGTGACTGCCACACGCAGAGGTACAAAGACCTCAAAGAACCACTACAGAGAGATAACAACCCAGGGTTGTGACTCGTGTCCCACAGTGTCCCCCAGTCCTTTGTCCAGCTGTCCTATGTGACACCTGGGGTGACTGGAGCCTTCTTCAGCACCAGCGGTGAGATGAGTGATCAGATGAGTGATCAGTCGTCCCCATCTCCCACCCCTCCTTTGTCCTGCCCTCTCTGTTGTTGTCAGGCAACCTGGGAAGACACAGTGGTAATGAAATACCAGCAATTAGTGGGAAGTGTTTAGATTTCGTTCTTTCCATTTGAAAGGGTATTATCCCTTTGAAGATTTCACTTGTGATAAATTGTGTTTCTTCGTGGATACCTACTGCTTTTAATGCTACTTTACTGCAAAAAGGAAATGAGTGTGTCTGAATTTCATTAGGCTCAGTTCAAAAGAACTCTCATTTTTATACTGCAATATTTCATTGTTAATGACAATAGAAAATTGCTTTGTAATCATTAAATTTTACTAAAATACTTTCTTTTTATCAAGGGAATTCCGAAACGATTTCCTAGAACTGCTCAGGAGGCGATTTGGTAAATATTTTACTGTTTGTTTTCTTGTTTGTTTATAATGTCTTTTATTAGTTCAATGCAAGAGGTTTTCATTGCTTTCTCCAGGGTCCCATATTTATATTTAATAATTCTGTATTTCAGGAACAAAGAGAGTCCACAATAATATCGTGTACAATGAATATATCAGTCATCGAGAGCACATCCACATGAACGCCACGCAGTGGGAGACACTGACTGATTTTACTAAATGGCTGGGGAGAGAAGGTAAATGCAATGTCTCAGGGTTGGGAGGTTTTAAAATTATTGGGTAGTTGTGTTGCTGATCAGTGGTCACTAAACATTTATGTTAATTCTCCCATTTCCTTTTTCTTTCTTCCCCTCCCCTCCTGTATATGTATTAACACATCTCCAAACATATTTCTGTGCTAACTGTTAGGAATTTGCTTACAAAAAAGCAAAAGTCTGAGATAAACAAAGGTTCATGACTGATGCATTTATTCTGTTTGTCTATATTTACGGGAGGTATTGCTAAATTCTAAATCAACTTCCAACGATTGCCATTTTAAAAATTAAGAACTATGATGGAACATTTCTTACGATGACAGAATCCTTCCATATTTAAGGTGGCAAGAAGTGAGCAATCGTTTTCATCCCTGGCAGTTTTGTGTTCAGTGGGAGGAAGAGAGATCAAAAGGCACCGTGGTGTGGCAGAAAGTTTCCTGTGGCTGTGATTGCCTGCGTCCCACAGGATACGTTCACGAGTCCTGCAGTGCTTGAAAAGTCACTCTAGTGAGAGTTAGTAACAATAGTGTAGCACAGTGAAGTTTCCTTTAGTGTGATTCTGATCTATTGTTTGTATATGTGTTGGATTTCTTTTTTCCTCCTTGTTAAAACAGTGGGAAGGAAACATTTTCTTCAATAATGAAGCAGACTGCTTTTATATTTTCCTCATGTGCTCTGGCCTATTTCCAAATAGAACTGGCTCACTGAAGGGCAGAAACACACACTAAAGATAATTCCAATTCAATTTTACCGGGCCAGTGAGGGGTAAATCATCTTTGGTAAAGTATCTGCATTATTATAGTGAACATGGACTGTGAAAATGCTCTCGATACCTTCTTTGTTCCTTGCTTGCTTTTGTGAGTATGAATCTTACTTTCTCTTGCCTTGACTTTTTAGGTCTTTGCAAGGTCGATGAGACTCCAAAAGGCTGGTACATCCAATATATCGATAGGGACCCGGAGACTATTCGCAGGCAACAAGAACAAGAGAGGAAGAAGAAACAGGACCTGGATGATGAAGAAAAAACTGCTAAATTCATTGAGCAGCAAGTTAGAAGAGGTTTGGAGGGGAAAGAACTGGTGAGGAGAATTACACTGTCAACCTTCAGCTCAAAACTCCTCTTGTTTAACTTTGTGGTTGATTGGATGCTGCTGGGATCCTTGCACTGGTATTTCCTTTAGTCAGTTAGAAGGTGATGAGTAAGCTTCATGCTTCAGGTTACAAACTCATCACCAGTTCAAACTGGGGAGCAGTGGGCATGTTTGGTTGCATTGCTGCTCTTTTCCACACCACAAGGAGTAGTCTTCTCCCAGAAACTTCTGGTAGTAGCCTTGACTAAGTTGCTTCTGTAATATTTCCTTGACTAACCAACTTGCTGGTGGCTTTTACAGCTGGTGAACATCAAGGTCCCCTATGAAATCACAGTTTCAAAAAATAAATAAATAAAAGAAAACAGAGGTTTCACCTCCTTTTAGATTTGAAATGATTTTGAAATCGACTAGAATTGCATCCTGTGCCCCTAGTGTCTGATCCTGGCCATTTCAGACTTGGATTTAGACTGTCTTCTTCCATACTTGAATCACCACATCTAATCACTTATATTCTGAATTCTCTGCTGTACAGTTATCTTAGATTATAGCCTGCTCCGAAGGAAAACTTGGAGTTACTTTGTACATGGCTTACTTTAGTACTAAAGGAGTAATAATTGCTGCTCTTCAAATGATTAGTGATTTAAGAATCACTCTTGAATTTAGGAAGGGAGAGTAAATGATACAATAACCAGCATGATGTGTCTTCATTTATGGTATTTCACAACTTTCAGGGTTGCAAATACCAAGTACCCTGTACGGGGGGGGGGGGGGGGG